CCATGCTGCAGCAGCGTTCAGTCAGAACAGGAAGTGAAACTTAAATGTAGCTGCTGTCAGTAACAATCTAACAGATATTAAACATTAAAACTCTCAACAGAAATAGTTCAGAAAGGAAATTAAAATGTTCACAACTTTGAGTGTGATTTATTATTATTATAATTATTTATTGTGACAGAAGCTGGTGAGGTCCACCACAGAGAAGCTGTTCTAGTATGATGACCTTAATTATTCTACAGGTTATTGTTAAGCCTTCTGACGCTCACACACACACACACATACACACACACACACACACACACACACACACACACACACACACACACACACACACACACACAGTGAGCGGCTGCGTCTGACTGCTGACGCTCTCTGTGTTTTTATTTCTGCAGTGAGACAAACTCACCTCACATAGTCCAGAGTTTGTTCTTTAAAGCTTCTATTAAATCCACCGTGTTGACGTATTTAACACGTTTCCTCTACGCTGCAGAAGTTAAAGTTTACGTTACGGAGAAAAAGTTCGGGAGACGTTTGTTTATATTTGGCCGCTGCGCGCCGGGTGGGGGTACTCGGTGCTGCACACAGACAGCTGGTGTGATTAGTATGGAACTCAAAAGTATTCAAAATTCAATATATAAACAAGACATTATGAAATAAATATCTACATGAAGAAATACTAGACAACCATGTAATCTGACAATGAAATGATGGAATAACAGAATGTTATCTAAGCTCAATATTATGAAATATTTTTCATTCTTCTTTTAAAATGGCTTTATTTATATAAAGTTTTTTAAAAGTCATTTTTTCATACTAATCCAAATTAATATTGAGCCATTTTTATTTAATTCATTCAGTTTTTATTACATAACGTCTTTTTAACAAAGACAGCTTTTATTTCATAAATCCATAGATTCCATAGATCAGCTCTGAAAAGTGTTGATCACAATTTGCAGATCACGTTTATTTTTCACGGAGATCGGCCGCGGATTCCTTTTCCGTCTGCATTCAAGGATTCAAAATAAAAAACTTTGAACGATTCTGGGAAAAACCAACAGTTGGATCCGGTTCCAATCGATGCTCGATGCCCAACCAGTCACAATAAAAGTGAGCTAATTAGGAGTAAAGGATCTAAACAGCGTCTGATGAGCACCTACACACCATTCATCACACTTGTTTCCAGCTTGGTCGGCTCATTTAATCCACGGTGAGTGATCCCATCACTCCCTCTTAATCCAATCAACAACGGCTCTCACGTGAGGATGATGAGGTCAATCTGTCCTCTCAAATTATAGCCGGCAATTAAAGAATCACCTCAAACTTGTCTTTAGACTTGCTTAAAATGTTATGAAATGTGTTCATAGAAGTGAAAGTTTTCCAGATTTAAAAAGTTGAGCAGATTGATACTTAGGTAATACTTAGGGGTGGGAGTCGATTAAGGAATTAATCTAATTAATCTGAGGCTTTGTAATTAATCAATCTTGATTAATCACATTTTAACTGTTCAAGGAAAGCTCCTTTAAAGTCAAGTCAACTATTCTTTATTCTGTACTTTTAGTCCAATTGACAGAAAGAAAAAGGATTTAAGATTTAGAGTTTTTCTTTGTCTTGGTTTGTTTGAAATCTGAACTGTTGGATGTTGAGCCTCATCAGCTGTTTGGTCCTGGTTTTATTTGTTTGTATTTTCATGACTTTAGTTTTAGGAGGATTTAAGGCACACACTGTCATATTTTATCATTCTTCATGTTGAGTTTTGTTTTTCATTGCTCCTCTCCATTACGCTCGTAAACCTCAGCTGTTTTGTGAAATCTTAGAAAAGTGAAACTTTTCTTTTTTCTCTCTAGTTTCGGATCAGACCTCACGTTTACTTTTAGTCTCGGCTAAATGGTGAATGACATGTATTTGTATAGCACCTTCTTGGTTCCACAACCCCCCAAGGCGCTTCACAACACAATCAGTCATTCACCCATTCATGCTCTGGTGGTGATGAGCCTTGATGTAACCACAGCTGCCCTAGGGCACAGGCACCACCGGTGCCTCTGGTCCCTCCAACCACCACCAGGTTAAGTGCCTTGCCAAGGGACTCAACGGCAGCATTCTCTGGGGATTGAACGTAAAACCCTGCGGTTGCCGGACACCTCTGCTGCTTTGAACTGCGGTAAATAAACAGTTTATTGGTGATTTTGATCTCAGCTCCTGTTTTACTTGGTCAAGTTCAGATCTCAGCCGTTTTTCTGTCTTTGGTTCTGCTTTTGTTGAGGATCTTTTAACTCTTAAGCTTCTGCTGTTTGATGGATCTTCATAAGATTTTAACCTTTCCTCTCTTACTAGGTTATTGAGCTTGCTGTTGTTTTTGCCTCCTGACTACTTCTCCTGGTATCTGCGGTGATCTTCTGTTTCGGCTTTTTTCTGGATCATAATCATAAGAGAATTTAGAACACATTTGGTTTAAGTCTCAGCTCGTTTGTGAGATTTTAACATGGTGGTGTTTTTTTTAATATAAACGATAAATGAACCACATCTAATCTGGAGCTAAAACTTTACCAATAAAATTAATTAAATGAAGCTTCAGGAGACACCCCCCCCCCCCCCCCACACACACACACACACACACAAACACACACACAAAGACACAGCGGGTTGCACGCGCTTTCAGCTGCAGCGAGTCTGCAGAAACGCGCAAATGCTTCTGCGCCTGTTATTATAATAATGATAATTGTGCAAAAGTGGATCTAAATTTAGCATCCATGCAGGAGTGGTGTTGGACAAAATGATGCATGACAATAAAATAAAAATATTTTACGCGTTTGGCGCGTCTGAAAGTGCGCATCCATAAACAGATCTGCGCACTTTTAAACCAAACCCAACAGAAGACCACAAACCAGCCCACTCACCCATTTCTACTGAAAGTTTCCCTGAGAGGCTCAGATGATGTCTACAGGTTGTCGCTCCGCAGAAACTACTGGCTGTCCCGGGCGTGACCGAGGAGGGGAGGGGTCACAGCCTTGACTTCATTAATCCAAACAGACCAGAGCCCTGATCGCATCTACGTCACTCATAGTTTGTGGATCTTTCTGTTTCCTTCAGAGATGCGTTCATGTCCCTCAGAGAAGATCGGAACTTTCCCTTCTTCTCCAGAGCAGAGAAGTCATCTGGATGCTGCAGGGACTTCCTGGGTCATCTGGTTACGTTTTTCTTCATAAAAACATTTTCAGAATTTTCTAAACTTTCTGAAAATCTTTAAATATTTTCTTGGATGTTTTTAAAACCTTATTTTCAGTCCAGATCATTTTTAACATTTTCTTCCTGCTTGGTTGTTATTTCAACCAGGCTACGTGATGCAACTATGTTGCAGGTTCGAATCCCAGCTGCATGCTGTTAGTTTGATCTCTAAGATATCAGCTCCACCTGCTACACATCACACCTCAGTTGTATCTGGGGATCATCCTGGAACAATCTGTAGAAGTCAGCCTTCATGGAGCTGAATCCAGACCTGAGCTTCTCTGGAACGAGATCAGCGTTTTGTCATCTGCATCCAACAGCACGACTCAGAGGTCTCATGACCAGACCTAGAGAACCTAATTCATGCGCTCATCTCCAGCAGGCTGGACTATTACAATGGTCTTCAGAACCTTCATGTATCCACCAGCCTTTGAATGAATGTTTCTTGCTGCACCTTCTGCACTGTAACTGCTGTGTTTTTTTTCTCATTCTTAAATCTGAGATTAACGCTTGTGTGTTAACTGTGCTGTCATGTTCTCGCCAGTGGAAAGCACATCCAACACCCTCATAGTCTGAGATGAGCTAAATGAGGCTTCCTTCTCCTCGTGCCTGTGTGGGTTTCCTCCTACAGACCAAAAACCTGTCAGTTTACCTGGAGACTCTAGGTTGTCCCTGTGTGAGTTAGTGGTTGTGTCTGTGATGGACTGGAGACATGTCCAGGTGTCCTCTCTCCTGGTGACAGACGACCTCCCTAACCCTGCTGAGGAAACCCGACTGTTCTGCTAGAAGAGGCTCAATTTTTTATTAAAGAAAATGATCAGTTTAATGAGAATCAGTTTCAAAAATAACTTTTGTTCCTCTTTATTAGTTTTATTTGTCAGCATTTACTCATCTCGTGTTTTACCTTAAAGGTTTTATTTACTGTAAGTCTATTTGTGACTCTTGCGACCATGACAGAACTGTTCATGTAGATCAGTTCGTTCTGGTTTAGTCTCTCCGTCTTCCAACAGCAGAGCTACTCGTGAGTCTGGATCAGACCCACGGCGGACAGGAAGCCAGCATTACAACAACCCAGCAGCACTTACGCTTTATCTTAATACGTCTCAGAAACTTTAAGTGCAAAAACCAAACTGTGGCAAAAGTTTGATTTCATTTACATCAGAGGCGACACCTGCAAATGTTTGAGCTGCTAAAACAAGCTTTAATCACCTGACAGTAGGTTTTAAATACCAACTTCATCCTGACTGATTCCCCTATATTCTATTAACTGCATGCTGGTCATGCATGAATAATATGTTTATATCTACAAACTCTGGAGATGTGGTTCGTTTCCTTAAAGAGCAAGTCCCCCCCTACCAGAGTATTACTCCACTCCCACTTCCTGTTTGAAAAATGCAACAAATGCTGTTGCCTAGCAGACCGAGAGGGCGGAGCCACTAACAAATACACACACACACAAGCTCACAACATTGTGACATCATAATGTACCAGCTAACATTCTAGGGTACTTCTTAGCCAATAGCGATGGCAGATTAAAATTCCAATGCAGTGCTGAGTTTTTACCTGACAACGGCACAACACTGACAGTTTTAGGCAGAATATTACAATTTTAACTAAAATCCAGTAAAATGCAAAACTATTGACTACACGTGTTTTCAGCATGATTAGACACGCATTTATATAGTTTATCAGGGGGAAAAAAGTTGATTTGGGGGTGACTTGCTCTTTAAACATCTTATGAAGATCAGGAAGTAAAAGTTTAATAAAACTAAAGCAGAACGAGTTAAAATGGGTTCTTCATTAAACCACAGATAATGGATACTAGTTACAACCATAACCCACTACCGTGAGACCGGATCAGGTCTGGAAAAACAAACCATCCCTTTTTAAAACTCCTGATTAATAATCAGCTGGTCTAAAACACTTTTAACACACTGAAGAATAAAATATGACCTAAAAAGTCCAAACATTATTATTAAAACACACATTTAGCACTGCTGTGGGCGTAGAAACGTCCTAAAGATCAGAGTTCTCAGAAATCCCAGCAGATGTGCAGGACTCACTTAGACATAAAAGACTTTATTAACATGAAAAACCATAAATAATAGAAACCTGACTCCAGAATGATGCAAACAGGACAAAAGCGTCAACAACCCTCTTGAGTAAAACAAACGGAGCCTTTGAACCTGAGGAAGCATCAGAATCAGGAGGCTGGGACGTAAAAGTTTAAATAAATTCACCGTAAGCGTGTCTGAAACACCAGAAGCAGCTTCTGTTTGGAGCTGCTGCAGCGTAAAGCGCCACAGAAGAAGAAGAGCGTAAATGGTCAGACAGTCTACGTTTAGCCCAGGGTGACCATGCTCATTAGCTCCACATCTGCAGCATTCATCCGTCCCAGCAGAAGCTGCCGAAGCTGTTACAGCTTCAGAGGGATGACGGGCCAGTATTTGGGCTGCTTCCGGTCACAGTTTCGATCAAAAGTCAGCTGCATGGCCGCCTCCATGGCCAGAATCTTGGCAGAGTCTTTGCCGTACAGTTTCTTCATCTCGGCGACTCGTCTTTCACCCGGGCGCTCGGAGGGAGGAGCGGCGCTGCTTCGAGAAGACACGTCATGCAGGTCCTGGTCTGCAGGGACATAGCTGTCCTGTAGCTCCGCCTCCACCTGCTGCTGCTTTTCTGCAAAAAGATATTTTAGAGTCACACACTTCCTGTAACTCGTCTATCTGCTGTCCACCTCCACGCTGGACTCACTCAGCTCCTCTCGGTGTCTCTCTGTGTGGGCGAAGTACTGCCGAAGCTCTTCACTGATCTCCATGTTGCTGACGTCACACTCGATCTCGCTCTCCGAGCTGCACTCCTCCTCTTCATCCTCCTCGCTTTCGCTCTCCTCGGCCCGCCAGTCGGCATAGCGCTGGTGGCTGCTGGGAGACTCCTGGTGCCAGTGAGTCGGGCCGTAGGCAGCCTCCCAGGACTTGCTGTAGGCCCGTCTGTGTCTCTGGTACCAGCCCATGGCCTGCTGGTAGTGCTGCCAGTAACGGCTGTAGACGGGGCTGGAGAACCATGACATCACTGCGCCCACATCCTCCTGCATGAAGAGCAGCCAGAGAGGATTAACAAAGTCACAAAAAAGTATAAACAAATTAGTTAAGAATCTTAATAAAACATTTGTTAATATCTATTTATTTTCTGTAAAATTAAAATTGTAATTGTTATAAAATATAACAAATGTAATTTTGTATACTAAATATTATCTTAGGAAATGGAATTTATTATTGAATTAAATCTTCATTTTACAGTAAATTAATTTTTCAACAAGACTATTTAGTTGTTTTAAGTTTCTAAAGCCTTCAGCGCTGATGATGACGTTTGTCCCTCTAGGCCACCGTAGAATCCCTTTAGCAACACGGGGTCTGATTAGCTTTCATGTTTTTGGGCAAAAGAAGTAGATCTCAGCGACACCAACAGCTAAATGAAACATTTTAGCTTCTGTTTAGAGTTATTTTACACTGCGGAAGTTCCCGTAAACTTGATTACTCCAGCAGGTCTTCAGCCCGCAGATAAATGCGGTAAATAAAGATGCGCACGCGGACGTCATCGTAAGCCTAGCTAGGTGATAAAGTAGCTTTAACACAATCTAGACGGTGCAACCAGATAAACACATTAATAATGCGCTGTTCTTACAAGACATCAGATTTAGAAACATTTACCTCTAGAGAATTTTTCTGTCGCTTCATGTTTCCACGGTGAAAAACTCCCAGAAGCCTGCGCGGCTGCGCGATGTGACGTTCACGAACGAATCGAATCTTTTGAACGATGAGAGCCGAGTCCCTGTAGAGAGCCGTTCATCTTAACAAACCTCCCCTGAAGTCGGTCAAACTCACCCACTCAAACCCCACCCACCGCTGTGACGGACATAGGTAGGACGAACCATAGAAACACGTTTGACACCCCCCCCCCCCCCCCCCGCCGCCGCTCCGTTGGCTTCACTTCGATCAAAAGAGCCAGTCTTTTGAACGGCTCTTTGAGGTAAATGACCGACTAATGAACGGCTCCCATGAAAGAGCCACAAATCCCATCACTATAAGCGGCTGAGTGTAATATCCAGCTAGCTGGCGCCCCCTGGTGGATGACGCGTGAGTTAATCATGGCTTCTTCATCATACTTTAATGTTGTTTATATAAACAGTGTTAAATTTACCTAACCACATTTTATATTTAATTAATTTGTTTTTACATCATAGTCAAGATATCTATTGACAAGCGAAACCTCCACGTTCACATCAAACTACACGAGAAGAGTAGATTGGAATAAAAAACGGTATCATTTTAAATCAAGCCTTAGAAAAGCAACTACATCACTCATTTACTCAAGATTTCAGAAAAACTTTGAACTCTAATTATAAACGTTTTAATGTGGCTTAAATTGGAATTTTTATTAGCTTCACAAAAAAAATATTCTAAAAGAATCTGAGCTTTGATTGGCTATCAACACCAGCATCATTGGTTTATTTATTACTTATAAATATATTTTTATTTTTATTATTTATTCTCTTAATAAAATTATAAAGGTAAACAGATCAGATTTTGATCCGTTTTTGCAGCAAAAACAGTTAATTAAATAGTTTTGGTTCTTTGTCTTATTTTTTGGCTCAAACGTGTTAATTATAAGTGAAGCTGAGGTTTGATAACATGTAAAAATATAAGAGCACAAATGTCATGTTTTAAACTCCAGCTGGCGTTTCAGCGCCTATGTGGGTCACACTTTAGCTCAAGGCTTCTAAGCTCTCAGCCAAAAAGGCTGCCACCGTTTCTGAGCACGTTTCTTTCTTTGATGTTAGAATAAGAGTTTCACGTCAGGATGAAGAACTCATTCGCTTTGACTTTTATTTAATTTCAGATGAACCCAAAATTTCTCATTTCTGCATTTCAGGCCATCATAATAAATGTTTGAACTGGAGAAGTTAGACACAAAATTAAGCTACACTGAACAAAAAATATAAAATCAACCCTTTTGTTTTTGCTCCCATTTTTCATGAGCTGAACTCAAACATCTGAAACAGTCTAAACATGCGTTAGTGAGCACTTTTCCTTTACCAAGATAACCCATCCCACCTCACAGGTGTGGCATATCAAGGAGCTGATTAGACAGCACGAATTAATGTTTCAGGTGAAATATTATTTCTGAGCAATTAGCAGCCATAGATGAATATGATGCCGATAGAGAAAGGCAGCGCCTCCATCAGCTCTTAACTTATGAACATGCAAGGTCCATATTTGGTACTGTGTCACAGTCACGTTGCCACTCTGATGCAAGCATCACAACAGGAAGAATCGATGCAGCTGCAGAATTATCTGCTAAGGAGGCTCAGTATAAAATTATACAAGAGGAAATCAAACAAAGGGAGAAAATAAGAGAAATGGAAGACAAACACAGGCGGGAACTGGATGTTCAAAAGTCTAAACTAGAGCATTTACAAGTAGAAAAGGGAAGGCAAGCAGCACGCGCAAAATTTGAGACTTATGACAAGGAATTGAAAGGTCATATGGAAAGTCAGCTAATGTTACAGAACAATGGGACTTCTTTTCTCAACAAAAATTTTGCACAACCAGCCCCAATGCTCTCTACAGGTTCATATATCCCACCTGTGCAACAAAATGCATCCATTCCCCTCATCAACTCTCCACGACAACCACACTCTCAAATTGCCACTCCATTACCTCCAACAGACATTTCTCTGCTGGCTGAAGCTATCCTAGATAGCATAGATGTAAACAGAATCCCAGGACCAGTACCCGTCATATTCAGTGGAGATCCCATAACCTACATTGAATGGAAGTCTTCCTTCAGCTCACTAGTGGACTGTAAAATTATACCTCCTGCTGAAAAACTGCACTTATTAAAAAGATACATTACTGGTCCTGCACTTAAGTGTCTTGAAGGAACATTTTATGGTAGTGATGACGAGGCATATGAAGATGCATGGAGAAGACTTGATCTGCGCTATGGTCAGCCATTTGTTGTCCAAAAGGCATTTAGAGACAAACTGTCTAAGTGGCCTAAAATCCACCCAAAGGATGCAGAAGGTTTAAGGACATTTTCTGATTTTCTCACAACCTGTCTTCAAGCAACACCACATGTAAAGGGCTTGGAGATACTAAGCGACTGTGAGGAAAACCAAAGGTTACTGCAAAAGATTCCTGAAAGGGTTGCAACACGTTGGAATCGTCAAGTCACAGTTGCTCTCATGAAAGGTAAAACTTTCCCTTCTTTCAAGGATTTTGTTGAGTTTGTAGCACTTGAGGCGGAAATTGCTTGCAATCCTGTGACTTCTTCATATGCACTCCATTCGTGCAGCTCATCTTCAGAAAATAGACACACAAAGGAGATTAAACCAAACAGATCTACAACTCAAGTCTTTACAACACAAGCTACAATGCATGAAGATAAAACAAAGTCAAATTACACAAGATTAAAGGTAGCTTGCATGTTTTGCAAAGATGAAGACCATCAGTTGTCAACGTGCCCAAGCTTCACAGAAAAGTCACTCGACGACAAATGGACATTGTAAAGGAAAATAAACTTTGCTACGGGTGCTTAAAAGTGGGCCATAATGCCAAAAACTGTTGTCATCGCCACACATGTGACTTGTGCAAAAAACGGCATCCTACTTGTTTGCACAATGAAAATCACAAACTAAATGAAAGACTCCAGAACTCAACAAGCATCACTCCAACCACAGAAAGTGGTACTACGGCAGCCACAGCCCTATGGGTCAAACAGGTAGTACCTCCATGATAGTTCCTGTATGGGTTTCTACTGCCCAGAACCCATCTAAAGAGCAGCCAGTGTACGCTTTATTAGACACACAAAGCGACAACACATTTGTCAGTGAAGAATTATTCAGTCAGTTGCAAGCAGACTCCCATCTAGTGAAGCTAAAGCTAACCACAATGCTGGGAGTTCACATGACGGTCAAAAGTCAGAGAGTAGCAGGGCTACGAGTGAGAGGTTATGCTTCAGATGTTCACATTGACCTCCCACCGTCTTACACAAAGGATTGCATCCCATTTAACTATGATAACATACCTACGAGCGAAACCGCAAAGCAATGGCTCCATCTGTCAGAGATTGTTTTTTTTTTTCGGAACTGCGCTGCTCTGAGTGGCTGCATGTTGGAGTAGCTCCAATCAATTTCCCTCTGGGATTAATAAAGTATTTTTGAATTGAATTGAATTGAATAAAGTACCTCCTCTCTTGAGGACTACTCATTGGATTTAACTGTCCTAGAACTCTAGCTCCAAAACAGGTTATACTTGGAAAGGATGATGAACCATTTGCAATCTAGACAGATCTGGGATGGAGCATTGTTGGTGGCTTAACATCGGAGTCAAATGAATCTGAAACAAGTTTTTGCCACAAAGTTATGGTAAAGGAACAGCCTCCAGTAACACCAATGGATGTAATTAATGTTCCGGAGTCAGATTTTAAAGACACACAAAAAAACAGCAACGAAAAAACAGTCTCACAAGAGGATCTCATTTTTTTGGACAAACTCAAGGAGGGACTAAAGAAGAACAAACAAGGACACTATGAGATGCCTCTTCCATTCAAACAAAGGCCATATTTACCATACAACAAAAGGCTTGCAGAAATCAGACTGGAACACTTAAAGCGAAAGTTTAATAAGGATGAAAACTACAAAAGGGACTTTGTTGCTTACATGAACGAAATAATAGAAAGAGGAGATGTGGAAGAAGTACACACTGAAGGAGTACCTGGTGAACAATGGTACATTCCCCATCATGGGATTTACCACCCCAGAAAGCCCACAAAACTGCGTGTCGTATTTGACTGTTCTGCCAAACACAGCGGAACAAGTCTCAATAATCATCTCCTCCTCGTCACGGTTTAGTGAAATTAAACTTCTGGTTGAAACATCAAAGTAAAACACGTTGACCTGTAAACTGTTCAGATTCATATCTGTACAAAGCGATGACACCATACCAAGTCTCCTTCATCTGGACCAGTAGGGGGCGGTCTTGGAACAGTCCCAGCACATTTACAGGAAGCTGTGGGATGATCCCACCACTAGGGGTCGCTGTGTGTTCTGATCTTCAGGTTGGAGCCTGTTAGTGGTGAGGTCCACTGGGGCGTGGGCCCCTGACAGCCTTTCAGAGAGGCACCTCTGCTCAGTCAGGAGTCCTCCTGGACCACTGCTGATGTTCAGGTTTTTACTCCATGGAGAAGAAGAAATTATTTTTATAGGACACCTCAAAATAAACATCACAGGACGCTTCAGAAAAACAAAACATGACAAATTAAAGAGAATATTTATAAACAATGATTTTAAAATATCAAAAATGGCAAAAAAATTTTATTGTAAAGTAAAAAATGAGAAGGAGGACAATCTTAAAAAGGCAGAGTTGGTCGAAACGGCAGCATGAAGAGAAGCTAGTGATGAAGAGGAGGTCCCACCAAAGCCCGAAGAGGTGAGTTTAAAGGACACACACACACACACACACACACACACACACACACACACACACACACACACACACACACACACACACACACACACACACACACACCTCTGAACTGAAACTATTGCGTTGCAGCAGCTGATGAGTCTGGTGGGTGTTTCACACGTGTGTAAGTGTGTGGTAACATGTGTATTCATGTCTGTAGATGTGTGTGTGTTTTTACACACCTTTTCTACTTGAGGAGTTGTGTAATCGTAGATCTGCCCCGTGTGAAGAGGTGAGAAGGTTAAACCGAAACCACCTCAGAGCTTCTGGACCACAGCTGAGCTTCATAAACAGTAGCTTTATTTATGCTAGCAGCTTAATTATACACCTGGTTGCAGGTCTCTCTCTGCAGCAGACCAGAGCTC